CATCAGCATCATCGATGATGCTCTCTCACATGCTTAGTCACTCACATACTCATCATCATCATCACTCGCACTCTCTCACACGCTCACGACATCATCATCATCATCATCATCGGCATCGGCATCATCCTCATTCTAACATCATCATCGCCACCACCACTCACAATCAATCATCATCCTCTTCACCACTCATCTTCACCACCACTCATCATCCTCATCCTCATCATCGTTGAGTAAATTGTGAGGAAGTCTCAGGCGGGAGCCCCCTCCCTATGGGGCCCGCAGATCATGTTGGTAATCCGAGCGGGTCATCGGAAACCTGTAACTGTCGTCACTTTTGGGCTCGTCAAGCCTGAAAATGGAGGAAGTCTCAGGCGGGAGCCTCGTCTGTGAGTGAATTGGGAGGAAGTCTCAGGCGGGAGCTCCCTCCCTATGGGGCCTGCAGATCATGTTGGTAATCCGAGCGGGTTATCGGAAACCTGTAACTGTCGTCACTTTTGGGCTCCTCAAGCCTGAAATGGAGGAAGTCTCAGGCGGGAGCGTCGTCTGTGAGTGAATTCTGAGGAAGCTCAGGCGGGAGCCCCCTCCCTATGGGGCCCGCAGATCATGTTGGTAATCCGAGCGGGTCATCGGAAACCTGTAACTGTCGTCACTTTTGGGCTCGTCAAGCCTGAAAATGGAGGAAGTCTCAGGCGGGAGCCTCGTCTGTGAGTGAATTGGGAGGAAGTCTCAGGCGGGAGCTCCCTCCCTATGGGGCCCGCAGATCATGTTGGTAATCCGAGCGGGTCATCGGAAACTTATAACTGTCGTCACTTTTGGGCTCCTCAAGCTTGAATTTGGAGGAAGTCTCAGGCGGGAGCCCCGTCTGTGAGTGAATTCTGAGGAAGGCTCAGGCGGGAGCCCCCTCCCTATGGGGCCCGCAGATCATGTTGGTAATCCGAGCGGGTCATCGGAAACTTGTAACTGTCGTCACTTTTGGGCTCGTCAAGCCTGAAAATGGAGGAAGTCTCAGGCGGGAGCCTCGTCTCTGAGTGAATTGTGAGGAAGTCTCAGGCGGGAGCCCCCTCCCTATGGGGCCCGCAGATCATGTTGGTAATCCGAGCGGGTCATCGGAATCATGTACCTGTCGTCAATTTTGGGCTCCTCAAGCCTGAATATGGAGGAAGTCTCAGGCGGGAGCTTCGTCTGTGAGTGAATTGTGAGGAAGTTTCAAGCGGGAGCCCCCTCCCTATGGGGCCCGCAGATCATGTTGGTAATCCGAGCGGGGGCTCAGGGGTTCACCCTGACGCACGCGTCCTACCTGACCTCCACGCTGTCGCAGGGCCAGACGCTGCGCAAGGGCGTCACCATCGACTGCGCGAGAGACGAGGACGCTGGCCGCACGGGCATGTCGGACGAGCAGTGGTGGCTGCACCTCTACGTCATGTTCTCCCGCGCCACGTGCATGCGGAACATGCTGATCCTGCGGCCGCCGCCGCGAGAGTTCCTGGAGTGCGGGCCGCCGGCGTCCCTGCGGAAGGCGCTCCTGGAGTTCGACAAGAGAGCGGTTTTGTCCAGGGCGGAGGCGAAGCAGCTCGCGGCAGAGCTGGGCTTCGTGCTGCCTTCCGCCTGAGCGCGGCTGCGCCTCGCTCGAAGCCCGCGGGGTTGTCCCAACGGCTTGGTCTTGCGCGCCAACGGCTCGCGGGGTTGTCCCGACAGCCTGGCCCGCGGGGTTGCCCCAACGGCTGCGCGACGTGACCAGTAGAGAACGCGCCTGTGCTGGCCGTGGCGGCGGCGGCGCCGAGGAACATCGACGTGCGCGCTCATGCAACAGGAAGGGGAGGAGGTGGCGGGGCGCGGAACAAACAGGGGGGCGAGGATGGGGACAACGTAGCGAGTGGAAGGGGGGCCCGCGCCAAGGCGAGAGGAAATATACGCAGAAGAGACAGCCAGGGCGCCTCACCAACCACGAGGACGACTGTGATTTTTTTTTTTTTTTTTTTTTTTTTTTTTTTTTTTTTTTTTTTTTTTTTTTTTTTTTTTTTTTTTTTTCCAGATTCGCCCAGAGGATTCTTATGTGGGGTTCTTCCGTCGGAGTAATTCCTGAAGACGGTGCTGTTACTCGCCGCCGACAGCCCCCGTCCCGACAAAACCACGGCTCCCGCTCGAGGCTTCCTCCCTTCTTACTCAAGGCGGTGTGCCTCATCGCCTCCGAAAGCAGCCGCCCCAACAAAACCAGCGTTCCCGCCCGAGACTTCCTTCCGTTTTACGCTGGACTGGCGCCCATTTCTCTTTTGAATTGGCGCCGCTCCCAGCAAGAACAACGCTCCCGCTCGAGGCTTCGTTCTTTTTTCCTTAAGACGGTGCTGTTACTCGCCGCCGACAACCCCCTGTCCCGACAAAACCACGGCTCCCGCTCGATGCTTCCTCCCTTCTTACTCAAGGCGGTGTTCCTCCTCGCCGCCGACAACCGCCGACCCGACAAAACCAACGCTCCCGCCCGAGACTTCCTTCCGTATTACGCTGGACTGGCGCCCAATTCTTTTCTGAAGTGGCGCCGCTCCCAGCAAGAACAACGCTTCCGCTCGAGGTTTCCTCCCTTTTTCCTCGGGACGGTGCTGTTCTTCGCCGCCCGACAAAACCACGGCTCCCGCTCGATGCGTCCTCCTTTCTTGCTCAAGGCGGTGTTCCTCCTCGCCGCCGAAAGCCGCCGTCCCAACAAAACCAGCGTTCCCGCTCGAGACTTCGTTTTGTTTTATGCTGGACTAGCGCCCTACTCTCTTCAGCATTGGCGCCGCTCCCAGCAACAACAGCAGCCCTGCTCGAGACTTCCTCCCTTTCTATTCAGGGCCAGGTCCTTGCCTCACCGCCGACAGCCCCCATCCCCACCAAGGCAATCCTGTCGTTCGATACTTCCTTGTGCTTTACCCTTCGCTGGGGTTCCACTGGCGGTCTCGCATCGGCGCAGCAAGGCGCGGGCATGTGTTTTCGAGGCGGGATATGTTGAAATTCCTCGGAGGAGGTGCTTGCAAGACCTCATTGGGCCAGAGATCTGGGAATGAGAATAACGGGCCCCGCTATAGAACAAGAGTCCCCCATGTTGTGGATTGTTATCCTGATGTCGCATGCTTCGTGTGGAAACATCGCGCATGAGGGTAATATTATTGTTGCTGTTGTTGCTGCTGTTGTTGTTGTTGTTGTTGATGCTGCTGTTGTTGTTGTTGTTGTTGTTGTTGTTGCTGTCGTTGTTGTCGTTGTTGTTATTGTTGTGTTTTTGCTTGTGTCCTCTGTATGCTATTTTGGAAAGACTGCCCGTAGTATTGTTTGCAAGCGCCAGAGTCCGAAAGCTACGATGGCTCCACGCTCAGTCCTCCTGAGAGCTTTGACATGACAGGATATTGGATCGCTACAAGCAGGTCTTTGGCAAATTGTATTCCAGAAACTAACCGCTGGTAGTTGTTCAGCTCAGTGCCACCAGAGCTTCACTTGGAGCCGTTCTTCGCACTTGTCGGCAGCTTTTCACTCTTGCTGGCACTGTTCACACTCCATCTCTTTACTTGCCGGCGGCTCGTATCCGGGTGGGAACGTGTTTGATTTTGTGGCGGTTCAATATGATCAATGAGGCGTGCTCCATTTTCGCAGGTGCCAGCAGCTTACAATAAGTGAGTGTGTACAGCGCTGCAGAAGGGGGCCCATCTACGCAATGGTGTCCGACCTCGCAGCACCTGGCAGTTTGATGATACATATCCGAAACGCCGCCATAGAAGCCCAGGCCTGGACTGGAATGGAATCCATGCTGTGCGCCTCAAAGGCTTCTTTACTCCCGTCGGGGTACTCAAACTCACGATCTCCCACACCACTGGACAGTAATGGATATATTCATGAGTCGTCTTGAAGCAGGGAGAGATGTAGACGAGGAAACTAAGAAGGATTATCAGGATGGCTTGGGTTTTTTTTGATATAGTTCGCCAGGCACCAGCTATGCACCCCGCAACGATCATTCTACTTGGGTCACGGGTCGGCAGTGCCAGGTGGAATTTGCGCGTCGCTGCCCGAGCGTCCAGAGAGTTCCACGTCACAACGAATCAGAACCGTTGCTGGGTGACGTGCCCGACCGCAGGCAATTTTCCATGACGAGTCTCTCCACCCGCCTCTCTGAGCGCAGGCTGCTCCTCCTGACGATAAGCCAGTTGCAGCCTTGTCGCGGCCAGTAGCACTCACTTTTTGCACGGCTAAGTGGCACTCCAACGTCATGCCACATGCAGTCGCACTTCGCCATCATGGCCGGGTTCGATCCGACGGCCATGACAGGGTCTGTCGATCAAACGGTTTCATCGTAGTTCCCAAGCATCCTGCGGTGTTGGGTCCTCGGTTTGAATTCGCAGCTCCCCGCGTTGCTTCTCACTCCTCCTCCTCCTCCTCCTCCTCCTCCTCCTTCTCCTCCTTCTTCTCCTCCTCCTCCCTCTCTCTTCTCCACTCCCTGCCTCTGCCCTCCGCGTGCGCATCTCGGTACACCCCTGACAGGCTTCGTGGCCCCATTGGGAGCTCCACCGAAGGCCCCAACGGCAGCGTCCGCATGGGCGGCCCCGTACCTTTTTGGCATATCTCTCGAAGGAGGGGGAGGAGGAGAAGCAGGATGAGGATGAGAAGGAGGAGGAGGAGGACGATTAAGAGCAAATAGCGAAGAGGACAAGGAGGAGAAAGGGAAGCAAGAGGACGAAGGGGGGAAACCTCCCTCTCCACCATCCTCCTCCCCTTCCTCCTCTTCATCTTCTCTTACCTTCCCTCCTTCCTCCTCCTCCTCCTCCTTCCCTCTTCCTTCCTCCTCTTCGTTTTCCTCCTTCTTTCCTTCCCTCCTCCTCCCCCCCTCCTCCTTCCTCCTCTTCGTCCTGCTCCTTCTTTCCTTCCCTCCTCCTCCCCCTCCTCCTCCTCCTCCTCCTTGTCCTCCTCCTCCTCCTCCTCGTCGTCCCTCCTTCCCTCCTCATCTTCCCTTTCCTTCTCGTTCGAGCCACCCGCCGCCCAAGGCTGCTGGCTCGCAGGAGCCGCCGCTGCCCCCTGGAGCGCCAAATGGTGCGCTGCGCTGCTCTTCCACCCCGTCTCTCCTCTTTCTTCGCTCGTAATTCTTGGCTCCTCGTCCTCGTTTTCCTCCTCCTCCTCCTCCTCGTCCTCGTCCTCGTCCTCCTCGTCCTCCTCCTCCTGTTCCTCCTCCTCTGTGTGCCCCGGGGCCCTCAGGTCCGAGGAGGGCCCCTAAGCGAGCGGACCGCGCGCGGCCCCCGCGCGCCCCGCGTTGCTCAGCCTCCCTCCGCCACCGCTCCTTCTCGTCCTCCTCCTCCGCCTTCTCCTCGAGAGCGGGGGACTGTCACAGGGGGTCGAAGGCGCGCGCTCGAGGCTTTCACACTGATATCGCGCGCGCGCGTGCGCATGCTCCGCGAGCCCCTCCTCTTCTTCCTCTTCCTCATTTTCCCCTCCACTCCTCCTCCTCCACTCCTCCTCCTCCTCCTCCTCCTCCTCCTTCTCCTCCCCCTTCTCCTCCTCCTCCTCCTCCTCCTCATCCTCCTCCTCCTCCTCTTAATCCTCCCCATAGGGAGTTGTTTCCCAACCCTCTGTGGTTGGGTATTCGTTTTGACTAGAGCACTGCGGTCGCGTTTCCTCCTCCTCCTCCTCCTCCTCCTCCTCCCGCCTCCCGCCTCTTGCCTCTCGCCGCTCTCTCTCTCTCTCTCTTTCTCTGTTTCGCTCTTTCTCCCTTGCTCTCTTTCTCTCGCTCTCTCTCTCTCTCTGCTTATCTTTCCCTTTCTCATTTTTTTTTTTTGTTCTCTCTCTCTCTCTCTGCATGCGGTGCCAGTCTAGGACCTCGCCGTCCCTGGGGGGCTGCGATCTGCGGCATTGTCGCCACTTTCGAGGGCTGCTGGTGGGTCCAGCGGAGTGAGGCACGGCGCAGACCCGAGCGGGACCTCGCCGTCCCTGGGGGGCTGTGACGTGCGACACCGTCGCCACTTTCGAGGGCTGCTGGTGGGTCCAGCGGAGTGAGGCACCGCGCAGACCTGAGCGGAACCTCGCCGTCCTTTGGGGGCTGCGATCTGCGGCATTGTCGCACTTTCGAGGGCTGCTGTGGGATGGTCCAGCGGAGTTGGGCACCGCGCAGACCTGAGCGGGACCTCGCCGTCCCTGGGGGGCTGCGATCTGCGACATTGTCGCCATTTTCGAGGGCTGCTGTCTGATGGTCCAGCGGAGTTGGACACCGCGCAGACCTGATCGGGACCTCGCCGTCCCTGGGGGGCTGTGATCTGCGGCATTGTCGCCACTTTCGAGGGCTGCTGGTGGGTCCAGCGGAGTGCGGCACCGCGCAGACCTGATCGGGACCTCGCCGTCCCTGGGGGGCTGCGATCTGCGACATCCTCGCCACTTTCGAGAGCTGCTGGTGGGTCCAGCCGAGTGAGGCGCCGCGCAGACCTGAGCGGGACCTCGCCGTCCCTGGGGGGCTGCGATCTGCGGCATTGTCGCCACTTTCGAGGGTTGCTGGTGGGTCCAGCGGAGTGATGCACCGCGCAGACCTGATCGGGACCTCGCCGTCCCTGGGGGGCTGCGATCTGCGACATTGTCGTCACTTTCGAAGGCTGCTGGTGGGGCCAGCGGATAAGGCACCGCGCTGACTTGATCGGGACCTCGCCGTCCCTCGGGGGCTGCGATCTGCGACGCTGTCGCCGCTTTCGAGGGCTGCTGGTGGGTCCAGCGGAGTGAGACACCGCGCAGACCTGATCGGGACCTCGCCGTCCCTGGGGGGCTGCGATCTGCGTCGCCATGTTCGAGGGCTGCTGGTGGGTCCAGCCGAGTGAGGCGCCGCGCAGACCTGAGCGGGACCTCGCCGTCCCTGGGGGGCTGCGATCTGCGGCATTGTCGCCACTTTCGAGGGTTGCTGGTGGGTCCAGCGGAGTGATGCACCGCGCAGACCTGAGCGGGACCTCGCCGTCCCTGGGGGGCTGCGATCTGCGACATTGTCGTCACTTTCGAGGGCTGCTGGTGGGGCCAGCGGATAAGGCACCGCGCTGACTTGATCGGGACCTCGCCGTCCCTCGGGGGCTGCGATCTGCGACGCTGTCGCCGCTTTCGAGGGCTGCTGGTGGGTCCAGCGGAGTGAGACACCGCGCAGACCTGATCGGGACCTCGCCGTCCCTGGGGGGCTGCGATCTGCGTCGCCATGTTCGAGGGCTGCTGGTGGGTCCAGCCGAGTGAGGCGCCGCGCAGACCTGATCGGGACCTCGCCGTCCTTGGGGGGCTGCGATCTGCGACACTGTCGCCGCTTTCGAGGGCTGCTGTGGGATGGTCCAGCGGATAAGGCACCGCGCAGACCTGATCGGGACCTCGCCGTCCCTCGGGGGCTGCGATCTGCGACGCTGTCGCCGCTTTCGAGGCTGCTGGTGGGTCCAGCGGAGTGAGGCACCCCCTCTCCCTTCCTCTTCATTCCTCGTCCTCTTCTTCGCCCTCCTCTTCCTCCTCCTTCTCCTCTTCCTCCTCCTCCTCCTCCTCCTCCTCTGTTTCCTCTTCCTTCTGCTTCTGCGCATGCGCCTCTTCCGTCTTCTTCACTCCTCATTCTCTTCTGGCTCCTCATTCCTCCTTCACTCCTTCCTTGTTGTTGTTGTCCTCCTCTCCCCCTCCCCCCTCTTCTCTTCCCTCCCTCTCCTCGTGCGCCCCCCCCCGCGCATTAATGTCCCGCCCCTTCCTCCCCCCTCTCTCCCATGCCCATGCCTCCGCTTTGTACCCTGCCGTCCACCACTACTGATATTTTATTAGAGGTGAATTCATTGCATGCAGTTCACGTGCCCGTGATCCCGTCCATAGCATGATCCCAGTAGAGGTGGATGCACCTCCCGGGGGATCATATTCGATGATAATCCTTCCCTGATCGGTTTGTATTTCATACTGCTTCCTCCTTAATCGGGTCCCGGTAGAAATGGATACGCCTCCAACAGGGTTCCGTCCGCAATCTGTCCACCCTTGATAAGATGATAGTTGCTATGGTTTCGCATGGCTTCGCAGGATACCGAGGTGTTGACAGGGCTTAGCATGGCTAGCAGGTGTTAGCAACGATAGGCAAGTCTCAGCAGGGCATGTCAGGAGCTAGCAGAGCCTAAAAGGGCTTGGTCGGGCTTATCAGAACTTCGCTGGGCTTGGACGGTGGTTCGCAAACCTTATCAAGGATTAGCAGAGGACCAGCAGGGGTTAGCCGCGCTTAGCAGTGCTTGGCAGGGCGTGGCTAGACCTAGCAGAGCGTAGCAGGGGCCAGCAGGGCATAGCACGGCATCGCAGTGGCTAGCAAGGCTCAGCGGGGCAAGGCGTAACAACGGTGAGCAGGGGTTTAGCAGGGCTTAGGAATGATTCGACTAGAGGTGGCTCCATTCCCCCTTGGATTCAAATCGAAGCGTATCCACATCTTATATGATTATACTCCAGGTGCTTCCATCCTTCGTGGAATTGTATTGGGGGTGGATCCACCGTTAATATGATTCTGTTCTAGGTGAAGCCACGCTGCATGCAGTTCAATTTCCCGTGTTTCCGTCCATAGGAGGATCCCTAGGGAGGTTGATCCACCCTTCATGGGATTCTATTGGAGCTGAGTCCTTTCTCGGTAGGGTGTTGTTACATATTGCTTCCTTCTTAGCAAGATTATGTTAGAGGTGGATCCATGTTTGATAGGCTTCCAGTAGTAATGGTTCACCCCTGATGAGATTATATATTTGATGTGGCTCCGCATGGCTTGGCAGGCGTCGCAGGCTCAGCAGGTCATCGATGTGCCGGCAAAACTTAGCAAGGATAGCAGGTGCTAGCAAACGTTGGCAGGTCCCAACAAGGCGTATTAGGGGCCAACAGGGTCTGCTAGAACTTCGCTGGGCCTGGCAGGTGGCTGGCAGAACTTATCAGGGCTTAGCCGAGGGCCGCAGTGCGCAGCAGTGCCTGGCAGGGTCCGGCTAGGCCTAGCAGGGGCCAGCAGGGCTTAGCACGGCATCGCAGTGGCTATTCATAGGTGGCCCCAGGGATCCTGAGATCTAACAGCGGTAATTCCATTTTCGATAGGATTCAAAGTGAGGTGGTTTCTCCTTTCATGGTATTACATTCCAATTCATTCGTCCCCAATATCGGTTTCTCTTGGAGGTGGGCCCACTTCGAATGAGATTCGAGTAGAGGCGAGTCCACCTTTCATGAATGTTCTTTTGTACGCGCGGTTTCCTCCTTAAAAGGATTCCTTTGGAGGTGGACCCACCGCAAATATGATGTTTTAGCTGTGAGTTTTTTTTTCTTTTTTTTTTTTTTGTAAAAAAAACATACAAAGCACATATATAAGTGTATGGTTTAAAAAGGTTGCTTATCATTCGTAATATTATGTTCGAGGTGGGCCCACTTCCAATTTGATTATATTCGAGATGGGCCGTCCCCAATCGGATTACATTGGAAGTGTCTCCATCCCCGATCTGATATCATTGCAGGTGGCCCCAACCCTACTAAGATTCAATTAGAGGTGAGGCCATTCTTGATCGGATTCTATGACACACGGTTCCATCCCTGTTCGGGCTTCATCCGAGGTGGCGTCGTACCCAACACGACTACATTAAAGGTGGGCCCATCGCTATCCAGACGGTGTCAGAGGTTGGTTAAACCTTGAAAGGATCGTATCAGAAGGTGCAACATCTCCACTAGGATTATCTGAGAGGTGGCTCCATCCCTGATCGGATACCAGGTGGTGCCCCACCCCCAATAGGTTTCAATCAGAGGTGGATCCATTCCTCAGTTGGCCCCATCCTTGATAGGATTATGTTAAAAAGGTCGCTCCACCTCTAAGAGGATTGAATTAGAGGTGTATCGAATCCAAATCCGAAGCAATAGTATTGAGATGGTTCAGTCTTTGATCGAACTCTATTCGAGGTGGCCCCATCCTTAGTATGGCTCTGATTCAGAGGGAGAGAGGGAGAGAGAGAGAGAGAGAGGGAGAAGAGGGAGACAAAGAAAGATAACGATATACACAAAACAAGTCAAAGAGAGAGAGAGAGAGAGAGAACATAAGAGAGAGAGAGAGCAATTTGTATATATGTACATGTATACTTAACTTATAACTATACATACCGAACAAGAGAGAGAGAGAGAGAGAGAAAAACAGAGAGAGAGAGAGAGAGAACAACACAGAGAGAGAGAGAGAGACAGAGAAGGAGAGAGAGAGAGAGAGAAATAGAGAACAAGAGAGAGAGAGAGGGATATACAGATAAAGAGAGAGAGAGAGAGAGAGAGAAAGAGAGAGAGAGAGGGAAACATAAAGAAAGACACAGAGAGGAAAACTCCCAACTAATCCCTTGTTTCCCCTCCACCCCCCATTGCCCCCCCTCCCTCGAACAGTAGCCCTCCCTCTCCTCTGAATTCGAAGCATGGGCCACGGTCTCCCTCGGCAGCAGCAGCAGCAGCGGCAGCAGTCGTATCACAAGGTAGTAGAAGCGGGAGGGTGGTGGATGATGAGCAGGGTCAGCCGCCCAGGTGCGATGCCTTGCCTCGCTCGGCCGCAGCGGGTGGTGGACCCGGCGGCGCAGGCCGAGGCCAGCAGCGCATCGAGCCTCCTTGCCGTCTCGCCGTCCTCCCCCTCGTCCCCTCTCCCCGTCCTCCTCCTCCTCCTCCTCCTCATCTTTCCTTGCTCCCGCAGCCGTTTTGGCTCACGCCATCGGGTCTGGAGTGGCGGCGACTTTCCTCCGGTCAGACCTGGCTTACAGCCGCTGCGAGTCCTGGGCGCACCGAATGTGCAGCTACCTTCCGCAACTTGGAGGCTCGCCCCAGCCTGCCTGCAACGGCCTGGCCTGGAGCCTTCAAGCAGCACAGCACCGCCTCGGCCTCCAGTCTTGTCGCCGGTCTTGTCGCCGATCAGGTTGACGACTGTTTACACCTTGTCGAGCACGTCGGATCCCCAGCGCGACGCACCCATGGCCCCCCTGGCACAGCGCCCCTGGCGCCCGCCGCCACTGCTTCGTTTGTCGGGCACGCGCCACAGCCTGAAGCCAGGCTGACGAGCACTGCTCCACAGACTGCCTGCGCGACGAGAGGCGCATCGGCCGCCACGGCTGCCATCCGAACTTGGAGTTCAAGAAGGCGAGTGCGAAGCAGCAAGATCAATCATGAGCTCGTCCAAGCAGATGGGCGTCGAGAAGCTCACAGAGTGGCCCGACGCGCTGCGGGAGGAGCCCAAGCGAAGACGTGAGACGCCTGGACCAGCTTCGGATGGTCGAGTCGATGACGATCGACGCGTCCAGCCTCAGGACCAGCTCGAGGCGTAGGCGCGAGACGGCGAGCAACGGCGGGGGCGGCTGTCGTCGAGGAGGCGGAGCGCAATGCAACGGAGGAGCTCAGGCTGGCCGAACGAGCTCGAAGCACACCGCGAACCCGGAGCAGGATGCGGACGAGTCCGACGACTGGCCACGCGCTGAAGGGGGTGGCGGCAGGGAGAAGGTTTCTCAGAAACGCCCCTTCTTAGAAGGCACGGGCGCCCCTTCTAAGAAGCTGGCGGCTGCTTTTTAGAAGTTGTTTTTGGCCCGCTTCTAGGAAGCGGGTGGCTTGCTTCTAAGAAGCGGCTTCTGCTTCTAAGAATTTGTTATGTGTTTCTAAGACATTGCTAGTGTGCTTCGAAGGATCGGCGCGCCCCTGACTTCTTAGATGGGCGGCCAGCGCCTTCTAAGAGGCAACCTTCTTTTAAGAAGCCTTCCCCCTTCCCTCTACCCCCTTGTGCACGCCACTCGAAGGCATCGTCGCCGAGCGCATGGGCAAGATGTTCTCTTGCGCCCACTTTTGCGAGGTGTGGCTCTGGAGCACCAGCGCCCCAAGAAGCTGCAGTGCGCGGCGAAAGACGACCCATCGAAGTTCAAAAGGACTCAAGACCTTCACGAGCTGCCCGCAGCAGCGGGCCGCAGCAGGGCCCCTTGGGAGGCGCGGCGGATTGGGTGTCTGAGGCAAACGTAACAGGTTTGCCCCTTGGACTCGCTCAGGTGTGCTGGTTGCGCGCGGGGCCCGTACCCTTGCCGCGCAGCGCAGCCGCTGGTCTCTGGGCTGCGCGCGGGCTCGCGGGCGCGCGGGGCGAGCGGCGCAGTCCCCTTTGCTTCCTCCCCCTCCCTTCCTCCCGCTCCTTCGTCCAGTCAAGTAGGAGGCCTTGTCGCCGTTTGGCCCCAGCGCCGGCGCGTACACATGGTCTTTGAGAAGGAAGAGCTCTGCCATTATCTGCATGACATTGTTGCCATGCTGCTTTCTTTTTTGTTTCCATCCCCAGCATTTTTAGCTGGTCGATCCCAGACAGTTGTGGAGGAACCGCCGGCAGAGCAGCTCCCGAGGGAGAACCCCCTTGGAGGTTTTGACTAGGCACAGGCACTGCTGGTCACCTGAGCACATCGACACAGTGATCTGTGATTCTGCACGGCCCACGCCGCCACACTGTAGGCGGGAGCGGCCAGATCTGAAGGGTTGTGCCCTCTGCCCCTGGCCCCGCAGGCATTTCAAGGCAGTCCTGGGCCGTCCTGGGGTCAGCTTGGGCATTCTCGGAGGCATCTCGAGGCAATCTTGGTGCCTTGGTGCTGTCTTGGGCTATCTCGGGCGATCTTGTGGAGATTTTGCCTGGTGCCATATTTGGCAACAGTGTTGTCATCTTGTGGGCCATCTTGGGGCAATCTTGGGGCCTCCTGGGGTCGCCACTGGAATCCACCTTGGAGCCAGCTCGGGCACCATGATATCGAACCCGAAATTACGTACTTCGGCAGTGCCCACGCACACAGGCAGTTGCACAGACAGTGCCAGAAGTATTGATGTATTGTCATTGTGAACTCAGAGCGGCCACTTCCGCCGTCACCAACGCCGCAGGAACCGCCACCGCATCCAGTTTGTAGCCGCCATTTGTTTTTTTTCTACCGCAGCAGCTGCAGCTTGCCCTCGCCGCCGCCGCAGCCGCTGCTGCTTCCTGCTACCCCTGCCGATCCTGGACCGGGGCGCGGTCGCCGTGCCGCCCGAGGCGGTCTCGCGGCGGACGCCCCTGCGACTCTTGCCCGCGCGCAGGATGGCGGAGGGATCCGGAGGTGCTGGGCCACGCTGCCGTGGGCCTGCCGCGTCGGTGAGCTCTGCCGGGGGCGCCTCAGCGAGCTCCAGTGACGCGGCTGTGGGGGAGGGCCCAGCGAAGTGGCCGAAGCTTCCTGGGGGCAGCGGGGGACCGCGCAGCATAGGTCGCGCCTCTGAGTGGCTCGGGGCGCTCGGGGAGCGTCCCCTGACGATGGCGCTGCACCTGGTGGCCGTGCTCTTGCTGATGTGGCACCTCGTTCCTGAGAACGGCTTCGTGCCGCAGGAGCCGCAGTGGGCAGCGTTCCCTGCGCTGGCGCTCGCGCACGGGAGCCTTAAGCTCCTGAGGCTGGCCTTGCGCTGCATCGCTTTCGTGGTCCCCGCGCTGCGGCCAGCTCTGTGGCAGGGCGTCTCGCAGAGTCCGTTCGGTACGCAAGCCTGGGAGATGGTGCTCGAGAGCGGCCTCGCGACGATATGGCCGACGCAGGGGCTCACGAGCGTCGCCTTCATCTCGTTCTTCCTGGCCCGGACGTTCACGATACCCTGGCTCTGGATGGAGGCCGTCGTGGGACTCCGTGTCTACGACGGGCACTGCGGCGTCGTGGCCATGGGCCAGGGCCTGTTCATCCGCTCCTACTGGGCCGTGGGCTCCCTGATCGGGCTCCAGTACCTCAGGGGGCTGGAGGCCGAGGGACGCGGGGAGCCACGGGCGCCTGGCGGCGGCCTCTCCCTGCACCCGAGGATGGTGCTCGCAAGACCGTGCGGTGGAGGCCTCCTCTTCTCCTCCGCGTCCTCCTCCCCGGAGGCCAGAATGGGTAAGGGGGCAGGTGGTGACCTGGGGCGGGGGAGGCCCCCCCCCCCCGCCCGAGGAAAGGCAAACCTGGAGGAGGTCGCGTGGATCGGCGACGGGTGCCGCTTCCCAGCAGAGCCGATGCGTTCCTTTGCCAAATGAGGCGGGACTGGCTTCGTGCTCCTGGGGGTGTCTTCCCCGATCCGCGGATCTGGCGCCCGCGCGCCAGATCCACGGATACGTCATCTGTGTGGGCGTGTGCCCGATCTGCCGCGTCAGCTCCCGCCAGGATGTGGAGGATGGTCCAGTCCCCCTTCTTTCACCGACACGCGTGCACCGCCATGCTCGCCTGGCTCCTGATGAGCGTGCTGGAGTGCTTCAAGCTGTACCACTGGGAGGCCGGCGTGCCCGCCAGCAGTCAGGAGCTGGACGCCTTCCGCTACACGAAGGCCTTCTTCTCGCAGTATACGAAGATCGGGGGCGTCCAAAAGGGGAAGGGGGAGATGGGGACTAAGGTCGCGTGTGTGTGTGTGTGTGTGTGTGTGTGTGTGTGTGTGTGTGTGTGTGTGTGTGTGTGTGTGTGTGTGTGTGTGCGGAGGCAACCCTGTGTTGGTGTCGGGGCCAATTTCCATGCACCTGGATTTCTTCAAGCGGCTTACGCCATTCCGAACACCCCCAGGAGTCAGAGCTTGCGACGATGGTGGAAGCTATCTAGTGGCATTCGGCTCAACCCGCCCCTGTGCCTGGGCTGTGGGTCAGGAGCCTCTTGGATGAAAGTGAGGGTCTTTTGGGGTGCTTCTCGCGGGCCTCTTGGAGGGCTCTTGGGTGCATTTGGGATGCTTTTTGGGGCCTTGTGGGGGCTTCTTGGGGGCTTCTAAGGGCGTGTTTGGGGGGAAGGGCTCGGAATATCAGTTCGTAATCCTCATCTTGGGCTCTCTTGAGTCCCTCTTGGGGCTCTCCTGGGCCAGGATGAGGGTCTGCTTACGAGCGCGTCTAGAGGGCAAGGGATGCATGTCCAGGCCTCATGGTGAGATTTGGGAGGTATTAGGATTTATATGTTCGACGATCGAGACAAGATGTCCGACATTATGTGTTTTCGAAACTCAGCACCGATTTAACGCAATTGGTTTTCACCAGCGGTCGTGCCGGCTTATGACGGCGCCACAGTGTTAATGATGGCAATGTTTGGGGCAAAGCAATTCTCTATTTCGCGCGCCCGTTTGGCGCGTTGTTCCGTGCGCGTTTTGACGCGCAGGCTTTTCTGCCACAGTCCGCCCGCTTTTTGTCTGACCCCCCAGGAAAGATGGGATGGAGGATGGATGGGCGGATGCGAGGCATGATGGAGGAAGATCTTGCGAGGATGGCGTCGGAGACAGGCGCTTGAGGTCAACTTCGGAAGCTTTCTTGGCGCCATAGTCTATCCATCCGCGCGATCGTTGTGTTGCGCCCGCGCGTCGATGCGCGCGCCCGCCCTTCGGGCGTCGAGCGTCGCCGGCGCATTTGCGTGAACGGAGTGGGGTCTTCCTTCGAGGCGGCGGCTTCGCGGGCCTGCGCTGGCAGCAGCGTGTTTCGACATCTTGCGCGCGCAATTTCGCTTATCTCGTTGTGCAAGGTCGCGGGTGCGTCGCGTGCCCTTTTCGGGGTAGCGGTGTCGGAGCGACCGCGCGAGGGGGGCGCCTCGCCCGAGGGGGGAAGCGCGCCGTCGCGCGAGAGACGCGGCGCCAGGTCGACGCAGCCCGCGGTCGCACCGGGGGCGCCGCGCCGCCGATGCGACGCGCGCGTCCCTGCTTCGTTCGCGCCGCGACGGCGACGCGAGCCCGCGCCTGAAGCCTCCGTCGCGCTTCGGCGGGGATGCGCGCGGCGACGTCGGAGATGCAGCGCCGCGGCGGCGGGTGCTCGCCGCCCCCCGGGCGCCGCGGGCCAAATGCTTCGCAGTGCCCGGCTCTCAGGGCCACGCGTCGCAAGGCCGCGCGTTCTCGGGCCCCGCGAGCGCAATCTGAGCGCGCGGTGGGGCGCGGCGGGGCCAGCGCGCGGATGGGCCGACGAGCGAAATGTCGCGTTCATTTGAACCCTCCAGTCGGCTGGCGGGCGGCCGAGCCATCGCGCCGCTCGGCTTCGCGCGGGCTTCGGGGCTCGGCTCGCAAGGGGCGCCGGCCGCTGGTCCGCGCGGCCAGTTGGCGGCGCCGTCTGCGCATCAAATCTGCGCCCGAGGGCGCAGCGACTGAAGTGGCGCGCGCAGAGTGCCTCCGCTCTCCGCTCGGCGAGTTGGTCAGTGGGTAGATGGCCAATCGCGTCGCCGTGCGTCTGCGCGATTCCGCCGCCGGCCCCTCTGGCTCCTGGGCGGGGGTGCTCCGGGCAATTCTGCCGATCGGCCGCTGGGCGCCCCGAATCGCGGGGCGGCCAGGCGCGGGAAGGGCCGCCGGGGGCGTGCGAAAGCGGGGCCCTGGGCGCGGGCGGCGCAGGCGCGCAATGGATGGCCGCCTTGCTTGCTCGCGCGTGCGTTGCGCGCGCGGCTCGTAGGCGCGTGGCGACGACGCCGCTGGGCATCTGGGCCCGTGCCCCCGTGTCCAGGCATGCTGTCCTTTGCGCCGTGGCGCCATGTCGTTGTCGGATCGGCGACCTGGCGGGCGCACTGCGCGGCCCGTCCGGCTGCGCGGCGCCGGGGCCAGGCGCGGGTGAACGCCAGGCGTCGTCTCGGGGTTGCAGATTTTGATTGCGGGCCTCGCAGGCCAGCCAGGTTCGCGTCGCGCCCCTGGCGCGTCGGCTTGCCGCGCAGAAAAAATTCAGCGCCCGTGCGTTGTGCATCTTCTCTTTGCAGTGAAATGCTGCAGCCAGGAAAATGCCCGCGCTACTTCGCTGACACATTTGGACAGCGTCGCCGCGCCGCTATTTCATGGTCGCGCCCCCTGGGTGCCCCCCGGGGGCGACGGCGAGCCGCTCGGCGCTGTTGGTTGCCGCAGGCCCCCGCGCCTCCGCCCCTCGGAGTCGCCCGCGCCGTGCCCATTTTGCCCCCGAAGTCCGCGCGGCCCACGTGACCAATGGCCCGCTTCTCAGCGTCTCGGCAGCCGAGTGTCTATATTGTCCACTTGCCCACCGCCTCCCCGCCCACTTGCGCATTTCTGTCCATGCCAAGTTGGCCCAGTGGCGAATTTCCATTGCTGATGGCCCAGTGGCCAGGTTGTCTGTCTGATCGGCCTAGCGCCAATGGCGCTGCGTGCCCGTCGATGACGCGTTTCGCAGTTGCAAGTGTGCGCAGCTGCGCGCCTGTCTCGCCGCCCACCGCCCCGCTGGGAACGTGGCGCGCTGGTCCAGCGACGCATGCGTCACTGGACCAGCGCGCTGTTGTCGCGGCGCGTGTGTCGCGTGGCCCGTTTTTTTTTTTTTTTGTTGTGTGTGTGTTTCTCCTATTTCATTTTATTTTATTTTATTTTATTGTATTTTATTATTATGATTATTATTATTGTTATCATTAAAAAATATTTAAACATACAATATATATATATATTATTATAATGTTTGTTATTATTATTGTTGTTGTTATTATTATTACTATTAGTAGTACTTTCATATATATATATATATGTATATATATATATTAAATTTCAAATATGTTTATATACATATATACATATATATGTATAATATATATAAAATATTTTTAGAATATACATATATATATATATATTTATTATTTTTATTTTGTTATTATTTATGTTTGTTATTATTAGTATTAGTATTAGTATATTACTTCCATATATATATATATATATATATATTAGATTAAAAAATATGTATATATATACATATATACATATATATATATATATATATATATATATATATATATATATATATATATAACTACACACATATATAATATATATATATATATATATCAGTAATGGCTTCGCCCCCTGCCGCCGGCCCCCTCTCTCGGAGAATGGGCCATGGAAGAGCTAAGTCATGAGGCCTTGGCGCTGTCGTGAAGCAGTATCGAAACTTCATGCGAAGCCGATTCGCAATCAGCAAAACCAACTGATCACAAGAGGGGTTACCACACCTGGCGATTGGTAAGACGTGTATGGTTTACGGGCTTGGTTACCACACCTTGCGATTAAAGGGCCGAGGGAGTTCTCGCAGTTTGGGTTACCACGCCTTGCGATGGATGTGCGTGAAGGGTGGCACCGAATTTCAGAAATGTGGCAAATCCCCTGTGTTTTTGGACCCTGACCCCGCGGATCTGCGTGAGGGGTGGCACCGAATTTCAGAAATGTGGCAAATCCCTGTGTTTTTGGACCCTGACCCCGCGGATCTGCGTGAGGGGTGGCACCGAATTTCAGAAATGTGGCAAATCCCCTGTGTTTTTGGACCCTGACCCCGCGGATCTGCGTGAGGGGTGGCACCGAATTTCAGAAATGTGGCAAATCCCTTGTGTTTTTGGACCCTGACCCCGCGGATCTGCGTGAGGGGTGGCACCGAATTTCAGAAATGTGGCAAATCCCATGTGTTTTTGGACCCTGACCCCGCGGATCTGCGTGAGGGGTGGCACCGAATTTCAGAAATGTGGCAAATCCCGTGTGTTTTTGGACCCTGACCCCGCGGATCTGCGTGAGGGGTGGCACCGAATTTCAGAAATGTGGCAAATCCCCTGTGTTTTTGGACCCTGACCCCGCGGATCTGCGTGAGGGGTGGCACCGAATTTCAGAAATGTGGCAAATCCCTGTGTTTTTGGACCCTGACCCCGCGGATCTGCGTGAGGGGTGGCACCGAATTTGAGAAATGTGGCAAATCCCCTGTGTTTTTGGACCCTGACCCCGCGGATCTGCGTGAGGGGTGTCGATTTCGAGCCCCCCCAGCAATTCAGACAACGCGCCCAGGGGGTGCTAAAAAGCCGGTTTGGGCCTCCCCCCCCTCGCGCGGTCAATCAACTAGTTACAGTAACCAGCAATAAGTCAACTAGTTACAGTAACCAGAAAGAAGCAGAACTGTAACACTGGAAACTACAAGCTACAACTGGTACAGGAAACTGCGAACCTCGCGCCTACAGCCTGGTGGCCCCACAAGGGGGCCGGCGGATAATATATATATATATATATATATATAGCGGCCTAGTAACTAGCGGGCTTTCGCACCTGCCCCCCCCCCGCCCCGCTGCCCCGCGAACGAGTTGCGCTCGACGTGCCAGGCGGCCCGTGGCGCAGTCTAGGCCAGGCGTAGCGACCCAACGACCCAAGCCCCGGTTCTCAGGCGGCAGAGTGCCCCCGCTAGCCTCGTGGTGCGATTGCCAAGTGGCGTGGCGCCCGCCGGCTCGGCGGCAGGAAGGCGCCCTGCGCCGCGTGCCCACCTGGCGCGCTGGAGCGGCGAGCGGTGGGTCTGGGGCTCTGCGGCATATTTCGGCAGCGGGCCTTGCTGCAATGTTCCGGCAGTCATGCGGCCTCGTGGCCCAGTGCGCCCGTGGCCCAGCGGGCGCGGCGTCTATCGGTCCGCGGCGAGCCTGGGGGCCACTTGACCGGCGGCCCAACTCCTGGGAGGGGGGTGGCATTGCGGTCGAGCGGCCCTTGGGCAAGTGGTCGGCTGCATCATCGGTTGGCCGAATGCCGATGGCGCGTTTGCCTCGTTGCCACGCGGCCCAATGGCGCAGCGGTGCGCGGGTCCAGCGGCCCGGTTGCGCTGCGATCATCAGTCCACCTCGCGTGACCTAGCGGCCCAAAAGACCGAGTGCGCCAACGACCAAGTGGCCCTGCGTATCAGTTCCCCGAGGGTGCCACGGGCGCATCGGCCGAGTGATCCTCAACGCTCCTCGGCCCTGAGGCAGACTGCGCGCGTCGCTTGCGAGGATGGGGGGCCGCGGCTGCGTAGTAATTTAACTTGCGCGTTGCGCGCGTCGCGTTTCGGAGTTGCGGGTCGAAGTCTGGGGGGGTGGGGGGGGGCGTGTTGCGCGCGTGTTCTCGGCTCGAGTGTTGTGGCATTGGCGCGAGAGGTTCGTGCGAAACTTGAGTTTCTGGACACTTGTTCTAAAGTGTTGGCTGGGTTGGTTTCGCGAATTGGCTTTCTGCAGAGTTTCCCCCCGCCCAGGGGCGCGCGGATATCTTGTGTTCTCTAGACTCAGACTCCTGTCGGATCCCATTATTGGGTTGTTTTTGGGGCCCTTGGGGCCGTCAAGACGATAATACAAGTTTGCTAAAACATGCAAGCTTTCTGCAGGGACTGTGGAGATGCTTGCCTCTTGGGCCTTCTTGGCGGTCCTCCAGGGACACTTTTGGGCCGTCATGGGGGCCTGGTGGCCCGCCTTGAAGTCATCTTGTACTGGCGAGGGGCTACCTTGTGGCCATTTCGACGCTCTTTTGGGCTGTCGTGGCGCTCAGTGTGGAGCTTTCTGAGGCTCAGGCGGCTTCGGGAAGGCGCTGACGAGCTCGTGGGCCCCCCGCCCTTCCCCCTGACTAGGATTTTGGACCCCAGGTGAGGGGGAAACGGGGAAGAGGTCAGCCAATCATGTCGCGCGCCTTCTCACCCCTGGCAAGCGGGGGATCGGCGGATCTTTGTCCTCTTTCACAGTGCGTCCGCCGGCTCCGCCTCGTTTGCGCACCTGCCACGGGCCACGATGCGTTGGGCCTTGTTTCCTGACTTCCCCTTCGGCGCACCCGACAAGAGCTCCACGAAACGCCCACTCGAGCAGCGGCACTTGTCCCGCGTGGTGGGCGGGAATTGGCGCGAGGTCTTCTATCTGATCGAAAGCGTCTGTGGCGAGTCACCGCCGTCCCCAGTTTTTTTTTTTGTTCGAAGAAAGTGAGGACGGCATCATTTTCCGCGCGCAAGGTAGGCAGGGAGGGTCCAACGCTGATCCAATACGTCCGCACGGACAGCTTATGCTGATGCATATGTTCCTCTACTATTAAAAGTGCGTCTGCGGCCGAACAATGGGACACCGACGGGCCAAATTGCACGAGGGTGCATTCCCCTCTGTCGTTGCGAAAATTGCGTGGGGAGACATTGGGAAACGAGTTTGCTGGTGGTATGGTTTCTGCAGGTGATCTTTAGCAAATCTTTCTGCTGGTGCAGGTTTTTCTGCAGGCGGAAGCGACAGCGCCCCGCGTCACCTCACTCACTCCCGCTGCCCCCTCCCTCCTCCCATCCCTGCCTCTGCCCTCTTCGGTACACCCCTCACACGCTTCGCGGCCCAATAGGGAGCTCCTCCGAAGGCCCCAGTGGCAGCGCCCGCATGCAGTTCCACCCCCATCTTGGCGCACCCTCGCACGTTTCGTGGCCCCATAGGGAGCTCCACCGAATGCCCCAGTGGCAGCGCCCGCATGCAGTTCCACCCCCATCTTGGCGCACCCCTCGCATGTTTCGTGGCCCCATAGGGAGTTCCACCGAAAGCCCCAGTGGCAGCGCCCGCATGCAGTTCCACCTCCATCTTGGCGCACCCCTCACACGCTTCGTGGCCCCATCGTGAGCACCCTCGCACGTTTCGAGGTCCCATCGGGGGCTCCGCCGAGTGCGACAGTGGCAGCGCCCGCATGCAGGTCCACCCCCACCTTGGCGCACCCCTCACGCGTGTTGTGGCCGCCAGTTGCACCGCCCCGCGCGCCATCCTTGTCGCGGCGCGCTACTTATGAGGGAAAGGTCGCACCCTGCATTACTCGTAGCTGCATATAGTCGCCAGGCTAATATTTTGGGCCTCCTGGCTCGGGCTCGCGTGCTAGCCGATCTGAGTTGGCGTTAGGAGGGGGGGAGGGAGCGAGGAGCGGACCAAACAAAGAAACGCCGTGTGTCCAATTGGCACGTGAGCAATGTACACTGCGCAGGCCAAGCGCCCGCACGTTCGCGGACAGCACGAATCCGCTGCTTCGAGATGAAGCAAGGCGGAGAGAAGCGATGAGCAAGAGGAAAGGAGAGAGGAGGCACAGAGCGGGGGGAGAAGCGGAGGGAGACGGAACAGGAGGAGCCAGCGCGGCGGAGTGGCGAGAGCCAGAAGCGGCGACGCATCAGTGGAATTGGTTGTAGACCCGCGCTGTTCGCCTTCACGCGGCCGCCGGGACGGCGGCAATGTCAGCTCCAAGCCACTACGTACACATGCATCGTGCGTGAAGAGCGTGCCTGCGGGCTCATTCCATTCGGGGGTGGCCTCGTCCGCAACGCACGGGCCCCGGGCGGGTCATAAAACTCAGCAGTCGACGGCACGAGTACAGTGGCCATCGCTCTTCCGCGCGATATCCCCGAGCAGAAGTAAGTGGCGCCCTGATAGCACACTGCTCAGCTTGCTTTGCCTCGCTCGGCTGAGGCCTGTGTGGTTGGTACTTGGGCTTATGACAGAGGGGGGAAGGGAGGGAGGAAGGGAGGGAGGGAGGGAGGGAACGAGGGAGGGAGGGAGGGAGGGAGGCGGAGGAGGAGGAGGAAGGAGAGGAGGAGAGGAGGGGAGGAGGGAGGAGGGAGGGAGGGGAGGGAGGGAGGAGGGAGGAGGGAGGAGGGAGGGAGAGAGGGGCGGATGGAGGGAGGGAGGGAGGGAGGGAGGAGGGAGGAGGGAGGGAGGGAGGGAGGGAGGAGGAGGAGGAGGAGGAGGGAGGAGGGAGGAGGGAGGAGGGAGGAGGGGGGGCCGCGCGAGAGGCTCGTCGAGACGCGTCGCAGCTGGCAGCCCCTCGCCTCCACGGCCCCCAGGAGGGCAAGCGGGTCATGTTCTTTCCTAAGTCGTCACTGCTCCTCGCGGCGACGACCGCGCTGATCATCACGACCGTGCGGTCTTCCAGGTCGAGGGCGGTCCCGTGGAGGTGGCTCCGCGCCGTTGCGTGCGGGTTGCTGCTGGGAATCGGGTCGTACGTGCTGTGCCTCTCGGCGCACCAGCTGCAGTTCCTCTTCTTGTGCCTGCTGGTGAGCTGGGAATGCCACCACCTCCAGGAGAGGTGCGAAGCTTTCCAGGACAGCTTCGAGGAGCTCTCCAGCCAGGACCGAGTCGAGCGGCACCGAGAGCTTGGCAGCAGGCTGGAGTGGACGGGCAGGAGGCTCCAGCCAGTCATCCTGTTCTTGGTGTCGGAGCGAGCTCTCCAAATGAGCTTCGACGTGGCCCGGTGGCGCTGCGAGTCCTCTCCTTTCACCCTGCTGCACTACGTCTTCCGGCACATCGTGCGCACGCTAGGTGTTTTGGTGGTGATTTGGCGCATCGGGCGCCTCAATGCCAGCATGTACGACGATCTCATCGGCGAGGTTAAGTTCCGGCTAATATGCTGCCATCAGTGCCCTGGGCTCGGAAGCGAGGAGCGGTGCTGGCGCCGCAAGGAGCTGAAAGATTGGGCCGCGTACCTGCAGCACAGCAGCAGTGGCCGTCGCAAATACTGCCTGCGCGTGTTCGGCTTCCAGTGCTGCCTTCATCCACATACGACAGCTGCCTGGGCCGTGACGCTCGCGCTGATACCGGCTGCCCAGAAGCTCTTCGGCTTGCTGCCAGGGCTGTAGCACAGCGGTGTGCCACCATTATCCGCCATCATCTCCGCCATCATCTTCATGGTCCACTGCCCCTCCCCGTCCCCCTCTCTCCTCCGCCCTCCCCCTAGAATAAAGTGCTTCAACAGACTTACGCCAGCGCGCGGCAGGAGAGAGGGAGGGAGGGAGGGAGGGAGAAGGAGGAATGATGATGATGATGATGAGGAGGAGGAGGAGGAGGAGGAGGAGGAGGACGATGATGTTGATGATGGTGATGGTGATTCTGATGATGCTGCCTGATGATGATGTTGATGATTATGATGATGATGGTTGTGGTGATGATGATGATGATGGTGGTGGTGATGATGAGGATGCTGCTGATGCTGATGATGACGACGACGATGACAATGATGAAGATGACGATGATGATGATGATGATGCTGCTGAAGATGATGATTAGGATGCTGCTGATGCTGCTGATGCTGCTGACAATGATGATGCTGATGATGATGATGCTTATGATACTGATGGTGGCGGTGACGACGACGATGACGATGACGATGCTGGTGACGATGGTGATGATGATGATGCTGAGGATGATGATGAGGATGAGGATGAGGATGAGGATGATGATGATGATGCTGAGGATGATGATGAGGATGAGGATGATGATGATGATGATGATGATGATGATGATGATGATGATGATGATGGTGATGGTGATTATGAATATGGTGATTATGAAGATGATGATTCTGATGTTGATGGTGATGATGATGCTATTGCTGCTGATGATGATGACGATGATGATAATGCGGAAGACGATGATGATGTTGATGATGCTAATGATCATGATGATGCCGATGACGATGCCGATGACGGTGATGATGACGATGATGATGATGATGATGATGATGATGATGATGATGATGATGATGATGATGATGATGATGATGGTGGTGGTGGTGGTGGTGGTGGTGGTGGGGGTGATGAGCCTGATGCTGATGATGACGATGATGATGATGATGATGGTTTGGATGGTGATGGTTATCATGAACATGTTAATTTTGATGATGATGTTGATGGTGATGTTCTTGCTGCTGCTGAGGATTCGGATGATAATGATGATGCGCAGGACGATGATGGGGAGGAGAAGGATGATGAGACTGAGGACGATGATGATGATGCTAAGGATGATGATGAGGATGATGATGCTGCTGATGATTAGGATGATGATGATGATGATGATGCTGATGATGTTGATGATTCTGATTATGACGATGATGATGCTGATGTTGATGATGCTGACAATGATGCTGATGATGATGACGCTGATGCTGCTGATGATAATGATGAGGAGGATGATGATGCTGACGATGATGATGATGCTGATGATGATGATGACGATGATGGTGATGATGCTCATAATGATGATGGTGATGCTGACGCTGATGATGATGCTGATGGTGCTGATGATGATGATTCATAGGATGCTGATGCTACTGATGATGATGCTGAGGATGATAATGATTCTGATGATGCCGATGATGATGGCGCTGATGATGATGTTGTTGATGATGATGACGATTCTGGTGATGATGATGATGACGACGCTGATGATGATGATGATGATGATGATGATGATGATGATGATGATGATGATGATGATGATGATGATGACGATGTTGTTGTTGTTGTTGTTGGTGGTGGTGGTGGTGGTGTTGGTGTTGGTTGTGGTGGTGGTGGTGTTGTTGAACTCTCATTTCTGAAGGATAACTATTGTTGATCCCTCCTGACCGGTGCAAATTGTTTTTTCTCCCTGAAAGCGTGCCCCTCGACGCTCGCACCCTGTTTTTTGACAGGGAACGTCTTGGTGCTCAAATTGGGCCCCTGCCCCCCGGATTACAACAACAACGGCTCCCGCCTGAGACTTCCTCCAAATTTAATCAGGACCCCCGCTCCTGAGACTTCCTTCCAATTTACTCAGGATCGGTGCTCCCGCCTGTGACTTCCTCGCAATTTAGTCAAGACCCCCGCTCCCATTTGAGACTTCCTCACAATTTACTCATGAACGGCGCTCCCGCTTGAGACTTCCTCGCAATTGAATCAAGACTTCCTCGCAATTTAATCAAGACCCCCGCTCCCGCCAGAGAACCCTTCACATTTTATTCAGGAATTGCGCTCTCGCCTGTGACTTCCATGCAATGTATTCAGGAGTCGCGCTTTCGACGCTCAGGAAACACGCTGTGCCAGGGACGCCGTTACAATTTACTTCGTAATCGCGCTCTCGCCATACTCAGGCATCCCGCTTGAATGTCCCACCCGCCCGACCCGCCTGTCAGGGGATCGCCCGCCCGTTGTGGGCTCCCGCCCGAGACTTCCTTTAGGAACGGCGCTTTCGCCTAGGACTTCCTCGAACGTTCACGCTCTTGCCTCCCTCTCCCTCCTCCCTCTCTCTCCTCCCTCCTCCCTCCTCTCCTCCCTTCTCTCCCCCTCCTCTCTTCCCTCATCCTTATGCCTCTCTGCCCTATCCCCTCTCCCTCCTCTCCCTCCTCCCTTCTCCCTCCCCTCTCCTGCCTCCTCCCTCCCTCTTTCTTTCTCTCTCTCTCCCCTCTCTCTCTCTCTTTCTCTACCTCTCTTACCTGTCTTTCTGTTTCTCTCTCTGCCTCTAATCAACCGCGCCCCTCTTCGCTCCTTCTCTCCTGGCGTTTCCCCTCTTCCTTCGTCCCTCCCCCTCCCTTCCTCCCACTCTTCCTTCATTTTTTTGCAGGGCCCACACCAACTTCAATGGCGGGCACATGTACGCCCACGAAGGGTTGTCCGCCCGTTCAGGTTTGCCCGCCTGTCTAAGCCCGCTGCCCCCCGCAAAGTGAAATAATCCTTCCAAAGGGTGTGTGTTCGAAAACAAGAAGGCCGGGTATCGAGGGTGTGGGGCACTCGTTTTGAATGACACGCGGGCAAGTAAGAGCGAACAGTCTTAGAATGATTGTTGTAGTTGTTGTTGTTGCTGCTGCTGCTTCTGCTGCTGCTGCTGTTGTTGTTGGTGCTGCTGTTGTTGTTGTTGTTGTGGTTGTTGTTGTTGCTGTGGTTGTTGGTTGGTTGGTTGGTTGGTTGGTTGGTTGGTTGGTTGGTTGTTGTTGTTGGTTGTTGTTGGTGTTGATGTTGTAGTTGTTCTTGTTGTGGTTGTTGTTGTTGTTGTTGTTGTTGTTGTTGTTGTTGTTGTTGTTGTTGTTGTTGTTGTTGTTGTTGTTGTTGTTGTTGTTGTTGTTGTTGTTAATGTTATTGTTGTTGCTGTTGTCGTTGCTGATGTTGATGTTGATGATGATGACGCTGATGTTGCTGCTGATGCTGATGATGATGATGCTGATGAGGAGGGTGAGGCGGATGAAGGGGAGGATAAGGATGAGGATGCGGATGAGGATGATGAGGGTGATGATGATGATGATGATGATGAGGAGGAGGAGGAGGAGGAGGACGAGGAGGAGGAGAACGAGGAGGAGGAGAATGAGGGCAACGTATGCAACAGCCTCGTTGCACGTGTTTGCCCACCGTTAGAAACTGGAGGAGGAGGAGGAGGAGGAGGAGGAGGAGGAGGAGGAGGAGGACTTCGGCTGCCCTCCCCCCTGAGGATGCCGTCCTCACGGCCCTGCGTGGCCGTTGAAGGGCCGGTGTGGCCAGGGAAGAGGCCAATGATTTTCCTTGGAGGTTGGGGGAGTGGGTGGGGCGGGAGGCGGGGTGGCGTGTGTGGGCCAACCGCTACATGCGGTCGCCCATGGGGGGACTTGAACGGGCGGGCAGGGAGGGACAGGTTGCCGCCTGATGATGCCGTCCTCACGGCCCTTGCTGATCCGCTGAAGGTTCGCATACATTTTTTTTGGAGCGTGGCAGGATGCACTCGCGTGTCAAGTAGCGTGGCTCCTCCGTGGCCGCTTTTAACGCACGCCGAACGAACATGCAACCTGAATGTGGAAATGTGGGCCAGAAGTGCACAACGTGCAAACGATGGCACTGCTTCCCTCCGACCGTCGCCCAGTTCACCGCCCGAACCGGCCCTTCCACATCAGCAAGATCTGAGATGTCCCGAGGCGCTTCGAGGCACTGCGTCTCGGTAAACTGAACGCAACGGTCCCTGCAGCAGGTACACGGGCGTGGCACGCCGTGCAGAGCCATTTGTGCTCGTGGCGCGCCAAGCAGTGCTCGCCGCAGAGCAGGGCCTCTTTTGGGCCCAACTGATGGAATCCACCATGGCCCGAGCAGCCCGCTTTCCAACGAGCGCGGCCGTGCAGTCCCAGACGTCGGCATCAGGCGGCCTCGCTCCTCCGAGAGCGTGGGACCACGAACGCTGATCAGCGGCACCTGCTAAGATGCCAGCGGCCCCGAGGCGGCAAGCAAGAGGATGTTCATCCTCTGTGAGGGGCGGATCGTCTGGGTCGACATGGGAGGGAAACCGCGAGACCCGACCTTCTCCTTGCCCTCTGCTCGAGAGGGCGTCCCTCACACGAAACCACGGATCCGCATCGGGACCTCGGTACGCAAGGTGTCGCTCCAACCTTTGTGCAAAACAGCCGCGTTGCAGTAACACGCCAGATCGATCCGCTGAATCGCTTGAGGTCCAGCTCGAAGGTTCGATTTTTGTTGGAGGGTGGAGAAAGAGGAGAAACAGCGGATGAGGATGAGGAACTAGGAGGAGGAGAAGGAGGAGGAGGAGGAGGAGGAGGAGGAGGAGGAGGAGGGATGAGTGATGAGTGCCACCGAGAGCGCCTCCAACTCGGACACACCTCAGGATCAGAAGAACATGTAGTGGCGAATGCCGAGGACGAGCGCCATGTGGCGGACGGAGGGGGGGGGGGTGGCGGACGGAGGGGAGGGGTGGCGGGCCTGCACGCTACGCGGCGGGCCCCCTGCCAATCCCCCACCGCCACCTCCCTCTGCCCCGGGGCCTCCGCCAGGAGGTCCGCGACGTGACGCAGCAGGCCCTTCTGGAAGGGGGGGCCCCAGAGCGATGGGGGGCTCTCCGCGAAGGCGGGCGCCCAGCTCGTGGGAGTCCACGCCGAGCTGAGCCGCCATGGCATGTGCCAGTGCCATGCCGCGCGCGCCAGGAGGCCGCCCGCCGCCCGTCGCCGCCGTGGCGGCCGCCCGCCGCGGGGGCCGGCCGCCTGCCCAGGAGTCGTCCAGCAGGGGCGGCGGCGGAGCTCGTCCAGCAGGGTGCCGCCCGCCGCCGCGGCCGCCGTTGCCGTCGGCGCCGAGGCCGTGCTGGACCGCCCCAGCCGCTCCCTTCGCCCCGCCGCGGCCGCGAGGCCGTCGCCGCCGCCTCCGAGGGGCAGCCGCGGGCTCCGCTGGCGGCGCCGCCGCGGGCGCAGGGGCGGCGGTCGCGGCCAGCACGGCCCCCGCCGTGCGCAGCAGAGCCTCGGCGGCGCGGGCAAGACGCGCAGCGTCCCGAAGTCCTGCGCCGCTGGTGAGCCCAGCGGCGGCGTGCACCGCCAGGGCCGCGCCGCGCGCGGCCTCCAGCGGCGCCGCGGAGAGGGCGTCCGTCGTCGGCGGCATCGGCGAGGCGGCGGGACGGCGGGCCGTCCCAGCGAAGCGACGCGCGAGCCAACAATCCTACCAGGAGGAGGAGGAGGAGGAGGAGGAGGAGGAGGACGAGGAGGAGGAGGAGGAGGAGGAGGAGGAGGAGGAGGAGGAGGAGGAGAAGCGAGGAGAAGCGAGGAGAAGCGAGGAGGAGGAGGAGGAGAGGGCACCCCGCCCGCGCCGCCCATCCAGGCGGCGGCGCAGCTTCTTGAGGAGGCGGGCCCGGGCGCCGCCGCCCGCTGCTCATTCGGGGCTCAAGAGAGATGGGGGTCAATGCAAACGGGGGTCAGCCAGGGCACCGGATCCTGCAGGATCCTGCGAAAACCCCCTCCCGGGTTTGCGAAGACTTGCGTTGCAGCTTTGTTTCCTGCATGCAGTTTTTTGGTGTCCTGCTGACCCAGGTCACCCGGGTCAGAAGATCCCCGACTCATCATCGTTACCGTCGTCGTCGTCGTCGACTCCGTCGTCGTCGTCGTCGTCGTCGTCGTCGTCGTCGTCGTCGTCGTCGTCGTCGTCCTCGTAGTCGTCGTCGTCGTCGTCGTCGTCGTCGTCGTCGTCGTCGTCGTCGTCGTCGTCGTCGACGGACGCGCATCAAGATTTAGGGGCGTCGAGGTTTCGACGATAGTGTCTTTTTTGTTGTTCTTCGACGACATGGCGGGCAAAAGAAGCTTTGGCATGATGACATTGTATCTTATCTACATGACGTGGTCGACACCGACAACGATTCCAAATGGTGGGTGTTGGCCCAGAACCTACCATGGTGGAAGACTCGTGAAAAAGGCTTCTTGGACTACATGCGGCAACTACAACGAATGAGCCTTCTGGCGCTCCGGCGCCCCCGCCGGGCTCTCATAGGGCCGTCCTTCCAGGACGTTTTCCGGCGCTCTGCTCTGCTCTGCCCAACCCTCCTTGGTTTGGTATTCGATTTGATTAGAGCAGTGCTCGCGCGTCCTTCCTTCCTTACTACCTTCCTCCTGCATCCTCCCTCCTCGTGTTTTCTTTTCGCTGTCAATGGGAGGCATCAGCATGACCGCAATCGAGGGCATGTCTAAGCAGTACCTGACGCCCATCCACAAGGATATCGAAGCTATCAAACAGCACGGGGTATCCAGAGTAGAACTGAACGAGGCCCTTGACCCGATCAAGAACGACATGCAGAAACTTTCCGATCGGATGGACTTCTTAGAACAATCCGGTACCAGGTCCCCATCGATGACGTCCGCAGCAACGCCAAGTATTACCGCCGAAATCGAAAGCAAAGTAAACGGAACTGGAAAAGTTAGCAAACCTCACAGGGATAGCAGCCAGGAGTGTAATGCAGTCGTTGGTGGTTTGGGTGATTGTTTTGATTTTGACGCGGCTGGGACTTTTCTGAAAGAGCAATTCGCCCGACTTCAGGCACCAGAGTACATCGACATCTTCGTGAAGCGAGTTCAACAGCATTGCCTCCATAAGGTTCGCTACCGTCGCCTCCCGGGACATTTTTTTTTTTGGTCAAGCACAAATTAGACATGCCAACAACATCGCGTGGACTCGCGCCGATAAGCTCATAGAAAAACGCGTGCCGGAGAGTTTGTTATTTGGGTTCTGGAAGCAGTTTGTGGATTGGGGCTATTCCAAAGGGGAGGTACGCGTGGACACGGACAGTAACGCGCTGAAGATGGCTAAAGAACCAGTCGTGACCGCACGGGTCGTGGGCAGCACTATCCAGATTGAGTGGGCGCACCCTTGGGCAAACTGGGAGGAGCTCACCAAGAGTCCGGAAGTGCAGCACCTCACCAACAGGGCGAACGAGACGCTGGGCCGGGTTTCGAAGGGAAGTGGAAAGGGCAAGAAAGGTGGGGCAGGAAGTTCTGAGTAAGGATTCGGACGGCGCATTGGCATTGCGAGCGCATGTAGAGCAGGCAGATGGGTAACATTCCCATGCTCGCAAATGCACTGCGGCAGAATAGCCACATGGAATGTCGAAGGCATCGACTTGGATTTGCCGTGCAAGCTCTATGAGGTAATTAAGCACATGCGTGATCTCGATTTCGCAGTCCTCTGCCTCCAAGAGACGCACTGCCGTGGATCATCAATCTATGATTTCGAAGGCTTCTTTGTCATTCTCTCCGGACACGAACAAGATTCCAGAGAACACGCAGGAGTGGGGTTTATCGTAGCACCCTGGGCACAAACATTCGGTGAAGGGATACATCCAAAAAGACAATCGACTGGCAAGCTTACGGATGCGAGTTCATGGGGGCATACCTATTCTGGTAACAGCGTATGTCTCAACGAACGAGCACGCCGACGAGGTCCAGCGCGAGTACTACACGAATTTGGTAGCTTTCGCTACGCAATGCCGTTCGCATGGTGCAATCATTATTCTGGGAGATTTTAATGCGAGATTGCTGGATTCATGCGCTGGGGAGGGGGGCGTCATCGGAGAGTACGATTTCAAGAGCGCCGCATCACCGTGGAGCCCACTATCCAATAGAGAGCTCCTCTTGGAACTATGTGGCTCCCTGGACGCGTGCATTGCGAACGCGTTCGTCAACGCAGGCGATGAACATGCGATCGCTTACCGCAATACCGGAATCAAGCCCTCTGCTTGTATCGTGCCAGGAGATTGTGAAAAAATGGGTCACGTCGTCGTTGGCGAAGAATGGTTATCCGCAGTTTCTTCAACATGGAGCGACCGGCAGCGTCTTTTCAGTCGCATCATGTTGTTCAGGTTGTCGACGTGGAGATCGCCAATCCCCAAAAAGGACCGCGCGCGTCGTGAACCCAGACTGGATAGCAGCATGATGCGGGATCTTGGGGCCAGAAAAACGTGCGCGCAGTTATTTCTGGAGCAGTGGGAGAACGAACCGCGTCGCGAATCTATCTCCGACCGCTCTTCAGCAGTAGTGCGCTGTATGTTGCATGCTGCAGCCGCCCCTCTTCCGCGCCGGTTTGCACGGCGAAGCCGGCCATGGATATCGGATCGAACTCTCCATGTCGTCGACGAGGAGCGGAACAAAATGCGCTGGAGTGGCATTGAGGACAAAACCATGGACAAGCTGATCCAGCAGTCTGCGAAGGCCGACAGGAAGAATTGGCTCACGGACAGCATCGAAGCAGACGCGTGCGAAACCATGAAACACTTGCGCAAACCAAGTTCACGTACGCGCGGGCGCCTTCGGGATGCAGCGGGCGCCTTCACGTGCGCGCGGGCAAGCTGGTTGAATCAGCTGACCGTGCACAGACAATGGGGACCTACTTGGAGACAGTGCAATGGCGACCGCCTGCGCAGGAAGGTGCACCACCGCAGTCAATCGATGGAGGAGCTTCTCTGAAAGTCGACGCGGGCCCGATCAGGACGGAAGAAACAGAGCAGGCAATCGAACAGTTCCGGGTCCAACGAGCTGCCAGGGTCGACGACGTGCCGCCTGAGCTGTGGGGGGCGCTAGGCGACGGCGATAGAGCACTGGATCTATTCACGTCTCTATGTGACGCTTGCTGGGTAAGAGATGCCTGAATAACCCGTGGAAGACATGGGGCATGGGAGAAATCACCAGTTATACGTATTTTCAAGGAAGGTGGCACAACCTTGCCGTCACATTACAGACCAATATCGTTGCTCGCAGTGGGGTATAACATATTGGCAAGTATATTGTTGCAAATATTGAGACGCGGAGGGGCCGAAGAAGCTTCGCGAGAATCTCAGCGCGGATTGTGGCCACGCCGTGGCACCGGCGAAGCGCTATTCTCAGTGCGCCGACTAATCGACGCCTCGCTGGAAGACAAGTATGGTGGAGAAAAGCGTTTGGCCGCGTGAACCCAGCAGGTCTTGCGCGCGGGCTTGAGCAATTCGGGGCGCTGGGTGCGATGGTGGAAATGATCAGGGGCATTTACGCAATGCGCCAATTCATTGCGGGAGAGGGGAGTGCCACATCGTCGACGAGACCGCAATCCGCCGGTATTGCCCAGGGATGCCCTCTATCTCTTTATCTGTTTATTTTCGTGGTGTCGATTATCTTGGAGACGGTGGATTCTCGTTTGGCCGCGGAATGGCCGGATGGGCCGGCCGAGCCACATCTGATCACAACAGGCGTTGTGCGCCGACGATGCCATGCTTGTCTCCGCTGGCCCGGGCGCGTTGCAGGCGCGTCTGGGCTTCGTTGTTGACATTGGAGAAGCGCATGGTTTGGAGCTCGACGCAGACAAAACTATACTACTACAAGCGCGAGCTGGTGGAGATATTTTCGGTCCTGATGGGGGAGCCATTAAAACTACAGATCGTGCAATTTATCTGGGTGGTCTTATCAGCGCAGACGGGGGGCCGCGAGCAGAGCGCGCGCGGCGCTGGGGAGAGGCCAAAGGTATATTTCAGAAACTTTGTGCGGCATGGAACCGCGCCAATTTGGCTGGGGCGCGGAAGACGCAGATCTTGGAATCGTGCGCATTCTCAGAACTACTGTATGGGCTGGAGTCGTGCGTGCTGCTCAAAGCAGACAGGGGCCGGATATTTGGTTTTCAAGCAAGATTCTTACGACAGATCTTCAACGTCCAACCTGCGTGGATCTCGCGCGAGCAACGCCGAAGTGCGCGAGAGCGCACGGCCCCCCCCTACTGACCGCGATCTTACTGGAAAGACAGCTGAAGTTGCGCGGTGAGCTCGCCCGGGACAGCGCCAGAAGTTTGCGTAGGAAAATGGTGTTCTACGAGGGCCACGCGCGGAAGATCATGCCTCGAAGATGGGATTCTTCGCGATCGAGAGGGCGACCTCGGATGCAGTGGGCAACGTATCTACGCGCTGAGGCCTTAGCAGTGGCGGGCAATGGCCCCGATGCTCTCCAAACTTTGTTGCGGAGTTATTCAGACTGGCACGCGGTAGCCAAACAGTATTGCAAGCGGTAGCTGGACTTCCCTTTGTTCTCCTCTTCCTCCTCCTCTCCCCCATTTCCCCTTGGCGCGTTTCGCTTGCAGGCGTGCGAACAGCGGGTCACCAAGTACACAGACTGTTGGTGATTTCATGCCTTTCCCCCTGCATGGCGTACTTACTTTTTCATTATTTTCCCGCGTGCGCATGTTCGCAGCACTTCCGTGCCAGTGCGCCGTCTAGGCGCGGCTTCGTGTGCGTGGTGGGTCCAGCGGAGTGAGGCGCCGCGCAGACCTGAGCGGGACCTCGCCGTCCTTGGGGGGCTTCGATCTGCGACGATGTCGCCACTTTCGAGGGCTGCTGGTGGGTCCAGCGGAGTGAGGCACCGCGCAGACCTGAGCGGGACCTCGCCGTCCCTGGGGGGCTGCGATCTGCGACATTGTCGCCATTTTCGGCGGCTGTTGGTGGGTCCAGCGGGATGAGGCACCGCGCAGACCTGAGCGGGACCTGTCCGTCCCTGGGGGCTTGCGATCTGCGACGTTGTCGCCACTTTCGAGGGTGCTGGTGGGCCCAGCGGAGGGGGGCACCGTGCAGACCTCGCCGTCCCTGGGGGGCTGCAACCTGCGACACTGTCGCCACTTTCGGGTGCTTTTGGTGGGTCTAGCGGAGTCAGGCATCGCGTTGACCTGAGCGGGACCTCGCCGGCCATGTGGGGCTGCGTTTTGCGACGTTGTCGCCACTTTCGGGGGCTGCTGGTGGGCCCAGCGGGGTGAGGCACTGCGCTGCGATCTGCGGCATTGTCGCCATTTTCGAGGGCTGCTGTTGGGGCTAGTGGATTGAGGCCCCGCGCAGACCCGAGTGGGACCTCGCCGTCCTTGGGGGGCTGCGATCTGCGACGTTGTCGCCAGTTTCGAGTGTTGCTGGAGGGTCCAGCGGAGTGAGGCACCGCGCAGACCTGAGCGGGACCTCGCCGTCTTTGGGGGGTTGCCATTTGCGTCGGTGTTGCCATTCTTCAGGGCTGCTGGTGGGTCCAGCTGAGGCACCGCGCCGACCTGAGCGGGACCTCGCCGTCCCTGGGGGCTGCGATCTGCGACATTGTCGCCACTTTCGAGGGCTGTTGGTGGGTCCAGCGGGGTGGGGCACCGCGCAGACCTGGGCGGGACCTCGCCGTCCCTAAGGGGCTGCGATCTGTTACATTGTCGCCACCTTCAAGGGTTGCTGGTGGGTCCAGCGGGTTGAGGCCCCGCGCAAACTTGAGCGAGACCTCGCCGTCCCTAAGGGGCTGCGATCTGTTACATTGTCGCCACCTTCAAGGGTTGCTGGTGGGTCCAGCGGAGTGAGGCACCGCGCAGACCTGAGCGGGACCTTGCCGTCCTTGGGGGGCTGCGATTTGCGACATTGTCGCCCCTTTCGAGGGCTGCTGGTGGGTCCAGCGGAGTGAGGCACCGCGCAGACCTGAGCGGGACCTCGCCGTCCCTGGGGGGCTGCGATCTGCGACATTGTCGCCACTTTCGAGGGTTGCTGGTGGGTCCAGCGGAGTGAGGCACCGCGCAGACCTGAGCGGGACCTGGCCGTCCCTGGGGGGGGGCTGCGATCTGCGACCCCAGGGGGCTGCGATCTGCGAAACTGTCGCCACTTTCGAGGACTGCTGGTGGGTCCAGCATGTTTCCCTTGATCAGGGACCTGCGGACCTCCGGGATGCCGCTCGCAGAAGTATATGCGTCCATGTCACGTCGTCGCCCTCTCATCAAACATCCCAAGCTACTCCTGCCCTGCAGTGCGCAGGGGTTGGGTACGTCGCCAGGGTAACTTGGTGGCTTTGGGGCAACTTCTCGGGCCTTCTGGGGCGTCCTCGTGGCCACGGCTGGGCTGGCCTCGAAATTCTTGTCAGAACGCGCTCCAGGCGAATTTTGAGTGCAGGGCCCAGCCCTCCTTGGTCTGGTCTTGAGCTTCGTGGGCTGGTATTTGTCTGGTCTGGGGGCCTCTGTGGCTGTGTTGTTGACCTCCCTCCTGGGCCGTCCATCTTGGGGCGCTCTCGGGACGTGTCGGGGCACTCTTGGACCGTCTGGACTTCCTTTAGTCGCCTTGGTAATCAACGGAGCACTTGACCAGAAACTGTGTTGGCACGGGTGACAGGCGTTCTCTGGGGCATGGCGATCTCGGGGCCGATTGTGGGTCCTTTGTGGGCAGCCTGACAAGGGGAGCTCCCTGGGCGAGGGCTTGAAAACGTGTCTCTGGTAGGTTGCAAGTGCCTCCGGTGAATTTCCTGGTTGCTTTTTGTAGAACCTCGGACCCTTCGCGGCCAGGTTGAAAAGAAAACAGTGCAAGTAGCACGCTGAAAAAAGTCTGACGTTTTTTTGGGGCCTTGGGCGAGGCAAGTCAAATGCTCACACAGGGGAAGTGGAGGTTCTGATTATTGTCAGCGGTGTCGGTGAGGATCTCGAGGTGTGGTTTGTCGTGGAAAGCGTGCTTGCTTGGCCTTTGAGTATCCCTATTGGTGTCCCTCACGGGTCTCAGGTTGGGCTGGGGGACACCGCAGGAACCACGCAGGGTGGCGTCAAAGCAGCTGCGGGGTTTCGTTCTTAGCGCGAGAGGGGGGAGCTTGTATACGTTCGCGTCAGCACACCCCAGGCGCGTCCTCGCGCAGGTGGTCCGCCCTTCGAATACATCGTTCATGTATTGGCCAGTGGAGGGTGAGCGTGCTTGCAAGATGTGACACGCCGTTGGCCCTTCGTTCTGGCGAGCTTGACTTGACATTCAGGGACTGGCAGAAAGTCGGGTCTTCGAGATACAGGCTGTACACGTTCTGCGTCGCAACACCTTTCTGGGCCACCTTTCAATCTATCTTGCTCGATACGCATTCCATGTGCATTTGCAACCTCTCGCTGGGTGAGGCGGCAGCCTCATGTACCTCTCCACGACAGGCGACGCGCTGGGTAATACCTTGCTCTCTGCCAAACGAGTCTTGTTGCGAGTCTGTCATGCTAAGCTCGGCTACCTCGTATCAGCTGGTGGCGCTATGCGTAATGAAATACTTGTGCAGCAGAGTTCTGCGAATACACATTGCAGTTCTACTTTTTTAGAGCGTTGGCAGAGGACCGAAGTTGCAGCCAGACGACTCAAGACCCGCAATACCCTCTAAGAGCAATCCACCCGTGCGCACTGGGGCAAAAACAGTTGGGCAGCCGCATGAGCTGCGTTCGCGGGCGAGTGGAAAGGGGCGGGCTGTATTTTGCGCAATTGAGCGTGCATTTCATAGTATTGTTTGCGCGTGAGTAGCGCGTCAATTATCACGCTCTTTGGTGTCTCCCAATAGTAGTGCAGCTTGTGTTATTGCTTGCACTCCAACGTCTGATTGCATCTCCATCTCGGCCTGAAAGCACGCCCGAACAAGTCCGCCTGGCAGGTGGTTTGTGCTGGGCGTCCATCTTGTTTATCCTGATCGTGTTTATGTATCATGTTCATGTCACGTTCTCTCTCCTCTCTCTGCCACGTTCTCTGTCACCACTGTACCCGCCCTTCTCTGTCACGTTCTCCTTGTCTCAGCCTATCATGCTTTTTCTCCACGTATCCTGATTCTGCCCTTTCTTGCTCCGTCCCCTCCCTCCCTTACCCGCCCACTTCTGCCAAGTAGTATCAGGAAACAAGGCCCTGGTTTACTGACCAGTGATCGCGTTGGGCAGAGTTTGGCGTGTTCTCAACGCATGATGTTCAGATTCGTTTTGTTACGAGTGGACAGCTGGGAGGGCCCGCAGAGCTTTATCGGACGTTGGCGGTAGTCGGCGTGTTCCGTGAGTCTCTTCCAGGTTCCACCCCCGGTGCCCGTGCATCGAGAGGCCGCCGCGGCCGCCGCGGCAGCAGCAGCCGCCGCGAGCGCGAGGTGCGCCGCCCGGCTGTCGTGTGAGTGGCATCATGTCGGCCTTGCAGTTCGAATCGGGTCGGACGAAAGGGGGTATTGGGACAGCGGGGGTGTCGAAATCAGCTGCGTGCAGCTGCTCTCCGCTCCGTCGCCAGGCGCTTTCTTCGATACATTGGCGCCTCCGTTGCTGGGAGGCGCTGGACAAATTAGCTACATGAGCTGATTCGCCGATCCCTACTGAACAAGCCCCCCTCTCGCCCGACCGGACCGAAGGGGGGTTCGCAGGAGCGTCGTACTTGTAATCGGGCATCTCTTGCAGCTTCGGAAATCCACCGCCGTGAGCTGCCACTGCTGCTGGGATGCGCCCGCCGCGGTGTCTCGAGAGCGGACGTGAGCAACGGCTGCCCGCCACAGCCAGAGCCGTGATGCTGAATGTTTGGGTGTGTGGAGGGAGGCCGTCGTGAGATTCGTCATGTTGCCACCGCAAGCTGCCTTTTGTGCGCCGCGGCGTGGAGGCGCGCCATGGAGGAGTCGCAGAGGCCGCAGCGGCCCGCTCTGCCATGGGGCTGGAGGAGGAGGAGGACGAGGATGACGACAGCGAGGAGGAACATGAATTGAAGACGACGACGACGACGACGACGACGACGACGACGACGACGACGACGACGACGACGACGACGACGACGACGACGACGACGACGACGACGACGACGACGACGACGACGACGACGGCGGCGGCGGCGGCGGCGGCGGCGGCGGCGGCGGCGGCGGCGGCGGCGGCGGCGGCGGCGACGACGACGACGACGAAGGCGTTAAGCAGCCTGGGCGGTCGACTGCACCCGTGTTATGTGGCAGGGTGGGCCCATGCGCACCGCCGCCACCTGGAAGCTCTCGGGAGCCTCGCGCGGCCTAGGGGATTGCGCCACGCTCGGCACAGGAAGCCAGTCGCACGCCCGCGGGGCGAGCCACGTGCGAGCACGCGCAAGCAGACGGTGGAACTCTCACAGCCCAGAGTGCGAGCCCGCTACGCCAGTTGCAGCCACTGGGTGGCCGCCGTGGCAGGATGCCGTCCATTCAGGGAGCGCGACAGCCCCGGCCGCCTGGTGTCTCTGCGGCGTGCAGCCAGAATTAGAAGGCTGCCCTTGCCCGAGGAGGTGCAGCAGCCGTGGCGCATGCAGCCGATGCAGGCCCTCGCCCACCCGCAGCGTGGCCACGCGCCGCCGAAGGCGGGACAGGCACTCTTCGCCGCGCGGGCAGCGGCTGTCCGTGGGCGACTGGCTCCGTCGGGGAGGTGGCGCCGCCGCGCGCCCGTTTGTCGGCGGTCCCTCCGCGGCCACGGGTCCTCACGCCCACCGCCTTCAGGCCGGCCATCGGGGCCAGCGGCACCGCAGCGCCGGGGTCGCCCACAGCCCCTGCGTGCGGAGGGGCCGCCGCCTCCGGACGCCGAGGCCGCCGAGGTCCCACACCAGCCGTGTACCTGTTTGGGGACTTGTCAGACGACTCTGTGAGACGGCAATGAGAGAGCCACGCTGCAAAAAGGATCCGCCCTCCATCGGTGCAGCTTTTGGAGGAGAGTTCAGAGGGACGTGCGCGGTGCCAAGGCGACAAGGCGAGAGCCAGATCTTGAAAAGAACTCGCCCTCCATATGTGTAACTGTTGCAAGTCTTCTCGGACGGAATGCCTGGCCAGCACTACCAACACGTCTGGGAGGAGAAGGAGGCAGTTGGTAATGCTTCGCGTTTACCGCCCGCCCATTCCAATTCTTGCTGGAAGAGGCGAAGACGGCTCCGAGACCGGGATGAGCATGTTCCGAAACAGGTAGGGGCCGCTCGGCCACGGGGCAAGGGCGATGGGCGGCCCGGGGGAAGGGGGGGGCGGAACACGAGGGGGCCCTCCAGCCCTCGCCCCTGCCCTGGTGCAGCAAGACGTCTCAGGCATGCGTGCGCATGCGTGCGCATGCTTCTCTGCCGCTGCGCCATCAGGCGCGGCTGCGCCACAGGGGTGGGTGGGTGGGCGGCTGCAGCACCGCCCCAGAGGTCCCACGCCATCGCGGCGGGCTCGAGCAGCACTGGCCAGGCCGCCGATGGGGGTTGCAAAGGGATGGGGGGGAGGCGGGAGGTGGACGATGGCAGGAGGAGGAGGAGGAGGAGGAGGAGGAGGAGGAGGAGGAGGAGGAGGAGGAGGAGGAGGAGGAGGAGGAGGAGGAGGAGGAGGAGGAGGATGCGGAGTCAGAAGCGGAGCTGCGGTTACGGTTTCTGCACTCTGCGGCGATGTCCAAAGCAACGACAAGAACCCGTCTATTTGTGGGCACCGCAGAACCTGGGTTTAACGCTTTATCCAGGAATGCGAGGCCTGGCACCACCGCGCGCAGCGCACACATTGCTGGCGGGGGTATCCTGGCGCGGGGGTGCCTCCGCACTCAGTGGCGAGGAGGAGAAGCAGGAGCAGCAGGAGGAGGACGATGCCTCGTTGGCCCCCCATGCGCTGGGTGGGTGTGCCGAGGTTTCGCCTGGTACCCGGTCGGTTGCCGCCCGTGGGCGCCTCGTGGGCGTTGCGTGGGCGGCCGCCCGTGGGCGCCTTGCCACGTATCTCCCACATCCACAGTGCCATTCCCCTCTGTTGGGAGTTCGACACGCTGGCAGTCAATTTCTGATATCAGAGTGAGGGTGCCCGACCGGCTTTGCTTCTCCCTGCGCGCGTGGCTGGACGCTCTGGGGGCTACACGTCAGGCTACTTATAAGGGGCACACTTGGGGGCTACACATGGGGTCTACACGTGGGGGCTACTCTTGGGGCCTACACATAGGGGCTACTCTTTGGGGCTTCACTCGGGAGCTACGCAGGGGCTACACGTGGGGGCCACTTGGGGGCTGTGCATGGGTGCTGCACTTGGAGGCTACACTTGGGGGCGGTTCGCCCGTGCCGCCGCTGCCTCACTCTGATCCGCAAGTGCGGGGTGCTACGTATCACTCTTTCTCGTCGGTCCGCCAGACGTGTCGGTAGGGCGGGCCAGGCGTTTCGCCAGAGCTTGCGT